TCCCCCTTTTCCTTAGCTGTGCTACTCCCTTTTATTCTATTGGCTTTTGGAAGGGCGCAGGGAGGGTTTCTGGCCTGTGTGGGGCCCGTCGGGTGCCTTACCTCCCTTGGGCTGGGCTAGCTGGTGGCCCAGCCGGTGGTCGGCCTGCTCCGTCTCTGCCACTTGCCAGCTACGCCTCGGCTGGCACAGGGGACGGCACCACACATGCGCAGAGCTTCCGGGCAGGGAAAGTCCTCGACTTACGACCGGTTGGGTAGTCCTCGACTTACAACCGGTTGGGTAGTCCTCGACTTACGACTGGTTGGGGGTCACGGCATTAAAAAGATTGAGAACCACTGGTCTAGTTTAATAAAAAGAAGGACTAGAGGTGGCAGTGTTCCAATATTTGAAGGGGTGCCACAAAAAATAGGGGGGGTCAACCTATTCTCCAAAGCACCTGAGGGCAGGACAAAAAGCAATGGATGGAAACTAATCAAGGAGAGAAGCAATCTAGAACTAAGAAGAAATTTCCTGACTGTTAGAACAATTAATCAGTGGAACAACTTGCCTCCAGAAGCTGTGAATGCTCCAACACTGGAAGTCTTTAAGAAGAGATTGGACAACTATTTGTCTGAAATGGTATTGGGCCTCCTGCCTGAGCAGTGGGTTGGACTAGAAGACCTCCAAGATCCCTTCCAACTCTGTTATTCTGTATCTCTTTCCAGGACAAGGATAGTCTGGAAGGACCCCTTGCCTGGTCCTCTCATTCTTCTCGTGTCTTTACCTGCAACAGCAATAAAAACACCACTGAGCTCACCATATATTAATTGTCATTCTGAAGTAACCGCAAATTACTCAGCCACCATGGGGAATCTCCACAGGAAAGTCAAAAAGACAAGATGGCTCTTCTAGGTATTATTGGCTGTCAGGAAACAAGATAGCAAGCTGGATGCCTGCCACAGTCCAGCGACGGGCCAAGCTCAGGGAAAAACATTTTCAGGAAAAGAGTCCATTTAGAATTCAAAGATGGCAATTCTAAACAGTCAATAGACTTGATAAAGTCAAGACCAAGAATCAGGCAGTGAAACCAAAGGAAGAGAAGCTTTTTATGGTAATTGTTCAGTGCAAAATACTCATATGTTGTCATTAGTTTTGCTAATGTTCTCCACAATACAGCAATCACTTGGCTTTTACAGGGTTCTTTCTCCAGAGAAAGTATACCAGTTACAAGATTACCTGTACTTGCTTTTTCCAAGTTTCCATACACCCTCTTATCATCTTGCCATCTAGGATTGTCTTCCCCTATCTGATAATCTTCAGGTATGTTAAGATTTCAAACTCCAAGAATTCCAATTTACCACGCTGTTTAGAAATTCTGGAATATAATTCCAACCTATCTATAGATCACCATTTTTAAAAAAAGAAAAAAATCCTTCTACTGGGTGATGTCCACAAAGGAACAATAGACAGACATGGATTCTCAGGCAATTGTCTTACTATAGATCTTCACAATGTCCAGAAGTCATTAACTTCTATTTTAGACATTCCTTGAGAATGCCAAGAAATCCTTAAGAAAACCCAAGGGTAATTGTATGTATGTATGTATGTGTGATGTATGTATGTATGTAGGCACAGTATTGGTCACTAGTTGTGCAGTGGATAGAATGCAGTATTGCAAGTAAACTCTGCCCACAGTCTGGAATTTGATCCTGATTGGCCCAAGGTTGACTCAGCCTTCCATCCTTCTGAGGTCAGTAAATTAGGACCCTGATTGTTGGGGGCAATATGCTGACTCTGAAAACCGCTTAGAGAGGGCTATAAAGCATTATGAAGTGGTATATAAGTCCAAGGGCTATTACTACTGCTATTGCTATTTTCAAACCTACATACGTGCCAACACAATCAATGCCCTAACTAGGAATGTAAACACAGTTGCTCCATAACAGATTTAATTAAAATATGTAGGATTTGATTAAAAATCAAATTCTCAAATAGGCACATTTTCATTTGCATGCTTAGAAAACTGAACGAAGCTGGGAGATCCAGTACAAAGCAGATACAAAACGTGGCCAAGCATATAGAAAAAGAAAAAAAGAAAAGGATATATTGTGGTTCTTAAAAGACCCTTAGAATCAAAACAATTCAAAAGCAGGTCAGTGTTTATTGGAGGAAGAATTAAAAACTCCCACACACACAAAACCCTCCATTTTATCTTCATTGGGTTTTTCATTGCTATCACCTGTTTATGATAGGAGTTATGGGAATAGTTTTTTGTTCTTCTATTTTTTTCTCCATTTCTTTTAAAGTAGTCTCCTGCTTATAATCTCATTTTCATGATTTCATTCTGTATGTCTTCATTTGGGTATCACTGGATAAATATGTTTCTTCTTGTATCAGTTGGTCTCCGGAAAAATGCCATTTTTAGGGTAAATGGCTTGGGGGAAGGATTGAGGAAAACAATACTCAGAAAGAGTAAACTGTTATCATTGGTGAATATTATATCACTACAATGTACATTCCTTCCCATGTGGAAATTGCTCTGCTCTAATCCTATCCATTATTATAAAATATCTGTTTACTCCATTCCAGAAGTAGAAACCTGAGCTCTGATAACTCAACTATTATACCTAAAGTTTTAATTTTAAAAACTCTTTTTTTCTTAAAAAAAATGTCTCTTACCAAGGCAGCTGGTAGGCATCAGATCTCGACCTTCTACTCCACTTTTTTCCTGAATTAACAACAAATGTGATGGAAGTCTACACAACATTCTGACATGCAAGACTATACGTAGAATTTTTGCTTTGGGCAAAAAATTCCACATCCACAAAGAAGCTTCTTGCATGTCATTAAACCAAAGTTAGGTGAGAAGGAAGGCCAGACGCTGGAAAAGGTATTTGGTCATCTTGCTATGACATTTAAGAGAAAACTAAAAAAGATAAAGATTTCCCCTAAACAGTCCTGTCAAACTCTAAGGGGTGGTGCTCTTTTCCTTTTTTTAATCCAAGGGAGACAGCATTATCCAAAGATTTTTCCATGGTCATGTGGCCAGCATGACTATATGCTGAGGCACACAGAATGCTGTTACCTTCCCACCAAAGTGGTACCTATTTATCTATTCGCATTTGCATGCTTTCAAACTGCTAATGTCAGATTCCATTTTTGGTATCCTGCCATTCTGGTGGAGGGGGGAGGAGGCTGTTTCAAGGGAGCATTCTTTGCATGCTTTCGCTTTGCTATAACTGTATGGAAAGTAGGGAGGGAGATCATTTGCCGAGATAGGATGGACTCCTTCCCAACCGTTTCCAGCCAGGATTCAAGGTCACTAAGCCCTGAGGATGACCTGTTATCTTTCTTGTGCATCAGCACTCTCAAAACAGCCTTGGGGCACTGCATTGGCTGCCGGTGGACTGGTCGGGGGATGGGTGTTGGGTTTTGAAGGGGGAAGTTTGGTGCTTTGTGTAGGAATGTTAGATTCCGCTTGACTTTACTGCAACCACTGTTTCTCAGTAAAAGTTCTTTTGATTAACCCTATGGAGTCAAGAGTTGGGCTTTCCTGAGAGGGACAACTGGGGCAGTCCTTACAGCTAGGCAAGATCTGGAGCAAGAACAGGAGCTCCTTCCGTCATGCAGTACTTGGGTCATGAACTGCCAAACTGACAAGCCCAGCATCTTAACCACTAAGCCACTGTAAGCTAGGTTCTTACTATTCCCAATCACGACCTTCCACTCCCTGTTTTGACTCTGAGAAATTCTTCCTTCCCAACCTTTTAGGCAGCATACCTTCATGAAGCCATATTATTTACCAGTCTATACTATTAATTCTGACCCTGAATCCCTCTATTTTCCTAGCAATGGGAAATGTTCTTCATTGGCTCTGTCATGAAGCCAAATCAGAATGAAGACAGAAGCAGAACTAACGCTACTCATTCATACTCTGTCATATTTTTTTTTCATATAAAGCATATAGAGGACAGGACACTGGTGAGTAACAGAGAATGTACGTGGCATTAGTGTTAAATGGGCATTGGGCAAATTCCAATTTCTGAAAAAGAAGCAATGTTTTAAATAATTGAAAAATATCCCCAGCATTTTTTCTTTGTCCGTTTCCTCTGTGTTTTCTCTACTATTAGTCTCACTGTTCATCCCTTTCTCTTTTAATATGCCAACATGGGACTCAATAACTATTTCATCTGCCACTGCATACGTTTGCACCATAGTGTGTGACAGCAGGCACCAAAACAGAAATACAGATAGTCCTTGATTTACAATGATTTATGTAGGGACTATTACAATGACACTGGCATCCTCACAGTCAGATAATCAAAATTCAGATGTTTGGCAATTGGCATGTATTTACAATGGTTGCAACATGGTGGAATCATGTGATCACCATTTGTGACCTTCCCAGCTGGCTTTCAACAGGCAAAGTCAATGAGAGAAGCTGGATTTGCTTAATGACTGCAGTGATTTACTTAGCGGTCATAGCAATAAAGATCATAAAACTGGACACAACTCGTTTAACAACTGCCTTGCTTAGCAACAGACATTCTGATCCCAATTGTGATTATAAGGTGAGGACTATCTGTACATGTATTTTAAAAATGGCCAGATAAGCAATCTCACCTGTAAGATCTCATACCAAGCCAGGTGAAAATGCTAAAAACTCAGATCGTCTCATGCAGTACCACCAAGGTCTCACCAGATTTAATGGTATTATAACTTTTTGGTCATTTGTTTTAAACTGTTTTTCTCTTTTTTTAAAGAAAAAAAAATCATTTTGAAGTTCCAAGGACACTATCTACAGATGGCACAACCTCCCTGTGCTCCAAAAGAATAGACTAGAGGAAGAAAATCCCTTGAAACTAATGCCAGCAGCTGTCAGATCTGACTATTTAGCCATAAGTGCAGTTATGGGGATTAAGGGCTGGGTGAAAAGAGACACTTTGAATGTGCAAGACGTGTTGCAAGAAAAGGGGGAGGGAAAAGAACCCAAACAGGACATGAACTGAGGATTTTCCCACCTTGAAGAAGAGTCTGCAGACGAAGGCTTTTGCTCTGCATCCGCAGCCGGGCAGCAGAATTGGTGTAAAACAGTCTCATTCCTGTAACAGAAGACAAAGAAGTGGCAGATGAAAATTCAACTCATTGACTCTCATTTATGTCCATTCCTGGCCACTAGTTCTCATTGGTAGTGCCAGTCCTTACAAAAACAAAAAAAACTTTGATTATTATTATTATTTAAATGTATTCACTGTACAGTTCCGAGTGGTTCACCATCTAAAACTGAGACTTGGCATGAATGGTGTGCAGAGTGTATTGGGAGGCCACAGGTTTGAGCCCTCCTCCATGTTAGCCTCTCTCTAGTGCAGTGTTTCTCAACCTTGGCAACTTGAAGAGGTATGGACTTCAACTCCCAGAATTCCCCAGCCAGCTGTGCTGGCTGGGGAATACTGGGAGTCGAAGTCCATACCTCTTCAAGTTGCCAAGGTTGAGAAACACTGCTCTAGTGAAACCTGGAGAGTTCTTAGCTAGAAGGCGCTTTGAGCTTCCATCTTTAAAAACATTCATATCTCCCATGTGAATATCAGAGTTAGAACAACCATGGCTTAGATGAGTCCGCATACCCTGCTGAACATGCTACTCAGTTCTGAAGAAAAAATATAAGTTAATGACACAATGAAGTATTGTGTCCATTATGTTGGGTATAGTGTTGTGATTCCTCGCCAGCCAGTGGATCCAGCAGCTGAGTCTGAGGAATCAGATGAGGAGGAGGGGCCTGGAGTGACATTAGAGTCAGAGGAAGGCTCTGAAGTCCGAGACTTACAGTTGGACAAGGAGCCTGGCCCCTCTACTCGTGCTCAGGTTGAGACACAGTTGTGCTGGGAGCTTAAGTTGGACAAGGATGAAGAACAGTTGGGAAACATCCAGGATGCACGCAGGCGCAGGCAAGAGAAGCGAGTAGAACAAAGGAATGCAATGGGGTGGCTCCAAAGGCAAAGGAAAAGGCATTAGATAGCCACGACTTGGCTGAACTATAAAAGGGAAGGTGGGGAAGTGCTGGTTGCCAAAGGCAACTGTTCGTGTTGTGGATCGAGTTTCTGTGAAGTGTGTTTGTTTGCCTTGGACATTGACTCAGGTCTGTGAGAATAAAAGGGTTTGTTTTTTTCTTGTGGTTTCTGCCTGCTTGTTGGAAGAGGGGTTTCTCCTTGTCAGCATAACAAGGACTCTTGTAGGCTGGGACAGAACATATATGTACCTTTTAACTGAGCTCTAAAAGTAACACCAACACCAGTCATATTTGCCATTTGGAAAAATCTCCAAGATTTGTAATCATTCAGTCAAGCTGTTTTGTCTTCCTCAAATATAAAAACATTGACAAACATCACATAAACCTTGCTCACATTCTGACCTACAGCTAGTACTCCATTCTAAAGGATAGCTCAATTCTTATATGTGAGTCAAGATTTTAATATTGTAATATTGGCTTTAGATAAGACCTGTCTGATAGAAGAAGAATCAAGAACTGTTCCAAGAAGTGCAGTTCACTATAGTTAATGAAACACAAGATCTAAAACCCTGTGGTTGATCTTGGCCTATTTCCATAAACTGTAACTTGAGCCATTTGCTCAGATCAGAGAGCATAACAAACTACAGTTCATTTGAATTAGGTTGTAGGTTGATTTCCTAAGAACTAGAGCAAAATCTTTGCCAGCCTTTATGTGTCTTGTCCACTAATTGAAGCCTCAGATAAGCATCTCTTCCAGACATTCCTCATTGTTGTAGTATCAGTGAAGCAAACACTATTCCTAGAAAAGAGTTCCAAGGTCCTTCCTAATGGCACCTGAACATTTCAGCAAAACCTTAAATTTGCAATCTCATATCCCAAGCATTGTTTGGGTTTATACAACAACCACATTTCAATAAAATCCAGCAGGTATGGTTAGTTTATGGCTCCTCAGATTGCATGAAATCAGAAAGCTGAATTCATAATATAAACCACAGTTTGGTTAGCCCTGCATAAACATGTGCCAAAAAAAAAAGTCTTTGGCCTCATAATTCTCTGCAAGCTGAGAAATCCAGGATTGCATTTCACAGATTATAGGATGCTATGATTTGGATGGTATCTTCAGTCAAGCCACCATCTCCACTGCAGATCACAGAGCTCTGTAAAGAAGAGTGGGTCTAAATATTAAACTTTCCTATTTATCAGTGATATAAAAATTTCCACCTGTAAGCAATTTTGCAAGTTCTGCTTGGCCAACTCACCTTTCAATTGTAATTTTCCTTCAACACCTATAAACCCCACGATGCCTTGTTATTTCAAGGGAGAATGGCTTTTGTTATTCACTGCTATTTCAGGTTTGCCCTATATTATTCTCAGTTGTTGAGCTCAGTCACTTGAATGATAAGGTCTGTGCCTACAGATAAAACAGGCTCATGAGCCTGCAAAGGAAGCAGTTTGGCCTCTTTTGATCTCTTCCAATGCAGTCCTAGGCTGCATTAACAGGATAAAATCAAGATCTTGGGAAGTGTTAATATCATTTTATAATGCTTTGGTAAGACCACACTTGAAATATTACATCCAATTTTGGTCATCACAATGTAAAAAAGATGTTGAGATTCTAGAAAGAGTACAGAGAAGAGCAACAAAGATGTTTAGGAGACTGGAGGCTAAAACATATGAAGAACAGTTGCAGGAATTGGGTATGTTTAGTTTACTGTAAATGCCAGTATCACTTCTGGATTCAGACAAATTGAGACAGATGCTTGTAAGCGTGTGAAATGTGGATGGAAGAAATGTATCTTCTTGTAATGGAACCAGGAAGAGTTAATTCTACCTTCCCTTTGGTGTCTTTCTTTGGTGATGCCCAAGAAGATCTAGACTGTGTTCTTTCCTGAAGTGGCTACCTTGTTAGTCTTATGCCCTCTATCATAATATATGGAACTAAGCCATTATTTGATTTAATCATGGTTTTTAAAATAAACTCCAGGTGGTTATTTTCCATATTAAACTAAGTTATAATTGTGGTTTACAAACTACAATGACAGAATCAATAGAAAATATTAAGCTAAAACCTCCCCAAAAGTGGGTCAAAGCCGTGTAGGCTGAAGAATGCAGGTGTGGTAATCAGAGACTAAGTATGTCTAGAGCAAAGTTTGCACATTTAAAATCATAATTCCCATTTCTTAAAATATGTTGATTAATTCTCTGTATGTATTCTCTAGCTTGTCACTTCTTAAAACCACCAAGTGTGTCTTACTTATAAGCAGCAGCTAGAAGGGAATGGAAAGTCCACAACAAAGGTTTGCATGCTACACATTACACATCTATCCATAGATTTTCAAGTTAGTAATCTCCACAATTGTAAGTCTCATATAACAAAGCAGTGGCGAGGTGAAACTGGAACTGGGTTTATGAACTTACTTCAGCTTTCTTTGACTTCACAGATCTGCAAAGATCATCAGTGCAAGGATTAGTCATAAAGTTATTTTTCCACTATCATGGCTGCAAATTCTATGTGAGAACTGCCTGTAATTCTCTGCCAGTGTTATTAATAGTGGTGAATATCTGTACCTCGAGCATAGAATAGGGGTGAAGTTTTGTTCTCTGAGCTTGTGGGTTTCTGAATGTTTCATTACCAGGTAGGTAACATCTTCAGTGGAGTTTAGGGGATGTTAGTGTTCCAATGTCCACAACTAGACTGCCAGGCATTAGCCAGAGGGATGGAACCTGCTAAATCTGGTATCCAAAAATGACTCTTATTGGTCATTTTAAGTGTTATTAATGGCCTTTCTGACTGTAAAATTGGGGAACTGAAATCCAGCATGTTTGGATCTCTCTCTCCATTTTGTTCAGAATGCAGCAGAGAGCATGTTTTATTCACTTAATAATTTTTATTTCCTGAAATGCTATATTTTGTAAAGCATTTTTCCCCATAGCTTTTTAAACCAGCCCTTGCAATAAATTCAGTGAATCATGCCTAGGTGAACTATGGTCCAGAGTCTTAGCTGAAGATAGGTAGACAGTTCCTTCAGAAACTGGAAAGTGTACAGCTTTTCAGGTCTCCTTTTATTCTGCTTTCAGTGAAAATCAGAAGAAACTTCTTAACTTTTAACAACAGGAGTCCCTGGATAGTAGCATGGTTCACTCAGGAAAATACATTCATCATCAGACGCTTCTCTTGACATATTCAATATGAACAGATCAAAGTTTGCAACCTGACACTTATTTTAGCACAGACTTTAATCACCATTAAGCCATCTGGCACCAGTACAACTAAATGCAAACGCCTTCTTGGTTAAAGAACCGCTATTTCCCATTCAATGGCATTAGCACTAAATCGGTTTCTTGGGAACTGTCCCAGCAAAACAGCTGTGCTAAGATACTGTGTCTTAATGAATAATGAGAATACCCAAATAAGCTTGGGATGGATCCCAGTGGAACCACATGGTGGATGCAGGTTGACCATTTAAAGTTGCTTCTACAACTTGCTTTGTCACCAGAGACTCCCATGATCACAAAGGTACAAAACATCTTTGCCCCCGAGGCAGCTACACTGATGCTCATGCTTCTTGTAGTGATGAGACATTGGCTAATTTTAGTCCTGTCCCCAAAATTTAAGGATTATATTTCTTTTGGAGGCCATTTATAAAATGCCAGGATTTCAAAACACAGCATTAGGTTACTAATTAAATGTGGTCTTCTATTGAGGAAATATTTATTTATTTATTTATTTAGACATAGTTCAAAGTAGAAGTGCCTGATTTTAAAATCTTGCATTGCTAGGAGACAAGGCTCCCTGATGTAAATGAGCTTCCCAGGCACACTGCAGCAGCGGGTTTGGCTGAATTTATTGAACCATAAAGTAACTGGGTTTGCAATAGATGCTAATTCTAAAAAAAGAAAATCCTAACCAAGAGCAAAGGTACCCAACATTAGCTTGGATGTTCTTTTGTTCCTTTATTTGCATTCTAATCTCTAGAGCAGGGGTAGGCAACTTCGGCTCTTTTATGACTCATGGACTTCAACTCCCAGAATTCCCGAGTCAGCTATGTTGACTCGGGAATTCTGGGAGTTGAAGTCCATGAGTCATAAAAGAGC